AAAGCTGACCCTCTGGAGCAGCCAGAAGAAGCAACGTGTCACGTCAGAGCCTCCGTACGCCACACACAGCCTGGGAGGGGGCATAGCGGGAGACATCTGCATGGCGGGACACTTCTACAGAATGACAGCGGATTCAGCCTTATCGCCAACACATGCCTGTATTACTACAGTATATGGCTGTAGTAAGTTTGACTTTACTCAATCATAGGGGGGAATTCTGGTGCATGCAGCAACAAGAACGTAGCGCACAGATAAATGTGAACATACAAAGCAAAGTGCAAAGACAGTACACATAGTGCAAACAAATTAAAAAGTGCACAAATAGAATGTCCTGCAAACAAAATATTGTATTACTATAGAAGTAAATACTTACATATAACAATAAATTATGGCAATCTTAATTTTAGATTGGTAGACATGTTCAAACGTTACCGTTATGCATTAATGACTAAAACCTTTTTATAAAAGGTTAAAATAATTAATTTCTTAGCTCCAGCATTAGCTGCATCAGGTTCAGACTCCAGGATCCTCCCGCTTCTAATCCCAATTAGCTATAAACGTCTGTTTGCCTCTGTTGTCTATTTGTGAGATGGGAGTTCACTGCTGCACCTGGAATTGCGATGGGACACGCCATCCTCCACGCAGCACAGGCTGGTCTTCTGGTCGCCCACATCCACCACGCAGGCGCTGCTCAGCCCACTGCCGAACGTCGCACACACAGACTCCTGATGGACCACTATCGCTGAAAGGATGACAAGAAAAGAGCACCATCACCACCCAAAGGCAACCCATCCCATGCAAACACACCCATTTCCATACTTTCGCAGCAAAATAAAAACAATAGCAATTGAAGTTAATAATAGATGCCAGAATGTATTCCAAACAAGTGCATACACTGACCTCTAGTGGACAACATCAGCACCACACAGCACACATCAAAATACAAATGTACTGAGGTGCTTCTTTCTCAAAGAAAAAGACAAAACCTAGATGGGAGTCTGCTGATAGAAAGGATGTAATAATCCAACTGGTTCCAGTACCTGAGAAGCCCATATTCACCAGAAGCATGTTTACCAGCTCCTTCACATGCTGGCGGTTGTAGATATCAGGGACTAGAAGGATGCATCTGTAATACTGAGGGGCGATAACACAACAGAAGATGCACTGACCAGCCAGGACTAATCGCCATGTTCAGAACAAAGTTTATAACTATGCGCAAGAGAGACACAATCAAGCATCCTATTAAACCTTAAGTGGAGATGTTCAGTCGAGCAAATGGGGCTTTTGGACCATGTATGGTTCATGAGGACGGATCTCACAACATTCCAGGGCAGCATCAGAGCCCTCTCCCCGCAGGGCACAACACCTTGAGGTCTTTGAGAGGGATTTCAAGGAACTTCTGTATGGTGTGAGACCATATTGCCTCCAGGTCAGCCAGAACCGCGCTGAGGGAGCCCCCAGGTCCGCTGTGTATGTTCAGCTGAGCCCTGCACACTGGCCAGTGGATGCTATAGCTGTCCGCAGGGTTGACATGCAAAGCCTGTTAATGAGGGAAGAAAAATGACATTTAAATACTCATCAACGCCCTCTACAGGCAAAATTACATGAAACCAAACTGATCTCACGATATTTTCACATTAATATTGTGCTTAAACATGGAATTATTTTGTTTTTGTCTTCACCTCTTCCCCGATGAGGAACTCCGGCTGGTGTGATGTGTTAGTCCACTTCACTCTGGAGCTGGATTCCAGGACGGCTGGGCGAACTTGTCTGTTGTAGGACCTTGCCTGGGGTAAATAAAGTGATTTTATTTTTTAAGGAAACACGTCTTTTAAATAAAGAGAGGAAAAAGGACAAAATCAAGACCCACCTGTTCTGCTGACACTGGAGTTCTTCTCACCCCATTAGACATCTTCTTGGACCAAATGGCCTGGTCGACCATCTTAAGACCATTTTGTCTCTGTTCATTACTTTCTGGTCTCTTCAAATGAACACAAAGTGGAATATTTAAGAAGTACTGCAGCCTAGATTCAACTGTGCTAATCGCTGTCCTGAATGTTTTGATTTGTTTGTTTGTTTATTTGTTTAACAGGGAAGGCACTCATTGATCTGCAAATGAGCCAGTTAGCTCTACATGCTGATTTTCATCTGTTGTCCCTCACTAGTTCTTAAAAAGGCAACCAAAAATCATGATAAAATAACTTATCATATCACACACAAATAATATACATACAAATACCCAAACTGTTCAAATAAACACACAAAAAAAGAGCAATAAAGAGCATACAATATGGTTTCACTGTCTTCACCGCATCTACGCAAAGCTATGAGTTACAGCTGAGTAAACTGGAAACTGGAGTCGGCAACTTACATTCAGTCCTTCTCGCAAGAGCCAAGGGTCCTCATAGCGGGGCTGGCTGGGCTGCTTCTGTCGTCGGGCAATCACGTGTGGGACAACAGCAGGAAACGTGTCTGTAGCCCGGCCAATGCGGAGGGTTTTAGAGCCAGGATTTATCACCACGATAAAATTACTCTGGATTTGCTGCAGATATACATAGATGCAATGAGTACACAGTAATCTTAGTCTGTTAATTAGAAAAGCCAGTCAGAATCATTCATGGTTCACTTCTGATACAAGCCCCACTATTTAATAAGCTTGGTTATATATTCATTGCAGGGCACACTAACACACCATTCACACCTATGGGCAATTTAGTGACTCCAATTAGCCTCAGCATGTCTTTGGACTGTGGGGGGAAACTGGAGAACCGGGAGGAAACCCCACGACGACATGGGGAGAACATGCAAACTCCACACACATGTAACCCAGGCAGAGACTCGAACCCGGGTCCCAGAGGTGTGAGGCAACAGAGTTAACCACTGCACCACCATGCCGCCCCTGGTTATATATTTACATATAGAATTAAAAGTGCTATATATTTCTTTTACATATTTCATATTGTATCATTTCATAAGGTGTGGAACAATGAATCACTGATGTCTGTCTTGCTTGTTGTTATTAGTGCACTCACTGTGGGGTCTGAGGGTAAGTTAATTTCAGTCCTGTGTGTCCTGTACATATGGCAGAACTGATAATAAAGACCTTTGACTTGACTTTTTTAAATTACTTAATGGATCAGTGATTGGATAACTTGTTGAGCGATGAGCACATTTAATCTGGGCTGCAGCAAAGGATCCCGTGTTGCAGGGGATTCCAAACTAATTCTTTTTCTGGTTGTTACAGCATCATTTTAAGAATAAGGTAGGGTTGCCATTCGTCCCTTATAATACGAGATCGTCCTGTAGCATACGAAACACAGCACTTTATTTTCCAATATGGGAGAGAGGGCGGGTGGCAATCCTAGCTGTAAGACCCCAACAATCATTTTAGCTCAGGTGTCCCCCCAATTCGGCCCTGGGTGCTATGCCTATTAATAATGGAAGACTTTGTGGACTAAAATGGCTACTAAGACTAGATCTTGATAACTAGTCAAGTATTATGAAGGTTTGTGAAGCGAACATTTTTTGCCATTTTTAAGTTCTGCATCACGACGTCTGACTGATCCACAAGCTTTGCCTTCTGTGGAACCAGGTATTTGGGCACCGAAGAGAATTATTGACATGGTAAATGCTTGATATCACTTGACATGACGTTAAGGGCGTAGGTTTGGTTTCAGGATTTGGTAATGACCAAATCAGCCCCGAACCCCCGTCCCCAAACACACACCTACAATATTGCTAGGAACAAGTCACCACGCCCCTGCATGACGTAAATTTCACAGTTTAGTCCTAATATTTTTAATTATTGTGTTTCCTTATTAGACCAGATAACGTATGCGAATTACTTTTAATTTTAAAATAGTAACTGGCGTGAAATAAGGGTTAAATGACGAGTATAATGAATACGCCACTTATCGACACAACTAAAATCACTTATAAGCCGCGTCGTTCACGACCGTGTTCCGCAGTCGTGTTCAGACAATGACCAGATTAGCTAAACTCAGTGTAACTAGAGCTAAACGTGCTTCAGAGTCCCGGCTGATACCGGGCTTGCCGGTGACACTCCGGGCTCTTACTGTACGCCACTAAGTAATAACCATACCTCCTGAACCGGTTCCGGGATTACGGGGGGGACGATTGGCCTTTTCACACCGCGCTGCTCCTTCTCCTTTTCCTTCTCACGCTCCTTTTCTTTCTCTTTTCCATTCTCTTGCTCTCTTTCGGCTTGTGTCATGCCGCTGCTTGACTTGTATCACAAACATATGCCGCACTAGGTAGATGCAGCATTATACGCCATCGTTCTTTATGGGTCTAATGCTGCCCCCTAGCGTAGCGGATGACCGACTTGACCGGGGCAGTGATGTACGTAGCGCTTTTTTGATAGAGTGACCGTTCTTCATGGCAAAGGGTTGGCATCGATGCAATCAATGTAGTGATTATAAATAAATAAGTCAACTGTATCTTGGAGACTGTGTGTGTGTGTGTGTGTATATATCATATACTCATTATGGTGACCTGGTTGTGTGTGTATGTATATATATATATATATATACACACACACACACACACATACATACATACATAACCAGGTCACCATAATGAGTGGTAGATTAATAACTTAGAATTTGAATATGCAATTACTCAGAGCATAATTTTCAAATTGCACCCAGAATTCAACATCAGGAGAATTTGCCTCCTTTCAAAATCTCTTTCCATGAAAATCCTTCCAAATGGCTAATTCATCCATTAGAAGCTTTGCCCAATGAAGAATAATAATTATGTGACTTTCCTGTTTGAAAAAACTAATTTACCAACTCACAGCCCGCTACAAAAATGATTTCACATTTGGGACACCTTTTAACGCATGCATGCATACAACAATGGCACTGGATCTTAAATTTTGAAGGAAACAAGCAACAAATACAAAGTCATCCATCAATTATAGTTTAAGCCAATACAGAAGGTAGAAAAACACAAGTTCATAAATATCCAGAGTTCTCTTTCTGTTAAACCATTTTATTTCCTTATTGCACAACATGCCTACAGAACCAACTTTAAGCCTTAAAAAAACCCTACATTCTTAATAAGCAACCTATACATTATACAGTATACAAATTACAGATGTCAGAACAGAACAATTAAGAAGGAAAAAAAAAAACAAGCAGCTTATCGACTGCCCTGGCCCCTTTCAGAAGGAATTCCCAGTGCAGCGTCATGAGTCTGCAGACCTGCAGAAGCTGCTGGAGGAGGAGGATGCGTGTGCCCCACCACTGACCAGGCTATGGCCCTTTACAGAGCCCCCCCACTAAAACCCAAGTGGCACTTTGCATCCACTGCCCGCACATGAAGTGCAGGCATTTACCTGAAAAAAGGGAGAGGGATTCAACAACAATTAACATACAGTCGAACTTCGTTACAACGTACTTCGGGGGACATTAAGAATTTGTACGTTATAACCATAGTACGTTGTAACCAAGTCCCTCAAAATGAATGACAGAACACAAAATGTATATAAAAAAACTTTTAGAAAACACCCCTCAAGTTGACACTATGACATACAGCTTGTGTAGTTTGAAGAATATAATAGGAACTATATTCTTCAAACTAGGTTAATATCAGTTACTCATAGACAGCCGACATAAGCCGGCAGTGGATTTTGCGTTATCGTTCAAATCGCCTTACTGTAACCTAATGTCAAACCGAAATTATGCACCTGTATATGATTCAATTGGCTGAAATAAATTTCGATACATGTGCTAGACATCTGTCTTTTGTTAATTTCTTTCACTATATGTCACACAATTACCCCAATAACCACACAGTTTCAGAACTTAGTTCGCGTCGGCAGTATAAGGCTGCCATGTATAATTCTGAATTATTTCCACCTTGTCGGTCAGCGAAATCCGTTTCCTTTTAGCAGGCATCTTGCTTGATATGTGGCAGCATGACACCATGCAAAACCATGAAAAAACGGGGGCTGCATGCAAGGAGTCCGGCCGGCGTGGAATGCTTCGTGAGGATAGGTTCACAGTTAGGCGTTGCTAAGCGATGTAGATGGCCGGCAACAGCCGATTCTGAATTGTGCGCGCGCTCGGAAGATTAGGCTGTACGTTGTAACGAAGGTCAGTTTGCCTATTTTCCTCTGAAAATCATACGTTATATCGAAGTTTACGCTGTAAAGGTGTACGTTCTAACCGAAACCGGCAAATGGAATAATGCATTACGCGAATTCGGGACATCGAAATTTGAACGTTGTATTGGTGTAAACGTTATAAACGGGGTACGTTGTAACGAGGTCGACTGTACCAGTGAAATTCAATTTTAAAAATTTTCACAGAAGCATGCAGTGTGAGAACACAGTATGAGGCTCAGCCTTCACTCATTTACTGCAGCGTCTGCAAGAATTAGGAAAAGACAAGGCACATCACATCTACACCACAGAAGTAGAAAGTCTCACCCACCTTCCTCATCCTCCTCCCCCCATTGGTGGGGCACTAGGCCCGCCCCCATGGTTTATCCTTCCCATTCGCCGTGGCCCGGGGAATCTTGGGGGGGGACTAAAAGAAAAGGAGAAGTTTATCTTAACACCTATTTACCCATGTATTGAGAGAAAACATCTACTTCAGGTGGAAAATATAGAGCTGAATATTTATCTCCAGCATGGTCCTTCTCAGAGATGGATGTCAATGTTCTTAGATAATACTACCAGGTGTCAGATTAAAATAATACTAATAATTAAATGTTTCATTATGTTAGTTGTGCCGCCGTTGCGTACCCTCTGCCATCATCATATCTTGAGTGAGACCTGGAGCTCCCATTCTTTGGCAGGTCAGGCTGAAAGAGTGTTTGGAAGCTGTAAAGCAAGAATGAGAAATAATTTTTGTTAAAACACAGTTTATTACCCCAAAGATATATACAACAGTGGCATGTATCTGTTAGCATAAACTACATAAAATGCCAATAAAGTCAACATAAAATAAGTACAATAAAGGAAAAGTGACACACAAGCACTTACAACAATCCGATGAACTCCACAGCACCCCAAAAGAGGTCAGTCCAAAAGGATAACCTCAAAGGGGAGCGACTCCTGCTATCCAAAACTTGGCCTGGCATGGAAAATAAGACTTCTGATAAGCCAAGTAGTTATAGATATAGACAAGCACAAAAATATCTAAACCGGCAAGTATTCTGACGAAATAAGACACCTCTTTCTGTGAGCTACCAACATGGCATAATTTTTCTTCAGTATCCATCATTCATAGTTTCAAACTCGCCAGTTTTGGCGCAACAACGCAATTTTTTATGAAAATACTTTAATTACTGTTCGTTTATATGTTACACTGGTTTTAATTTAAACTTGACTGGCGGCGTTACCTACTTTTGTCTAGCAGATTGTCATTTAAAATACAGATTTAACTACTTTTTCCACCAAAATGAGGCGATACGTTTCCTACATTTGCTAGCAATTAACAAGAAACGTGATCTTGGAATATCTGCCTTACTAAAAGATTATAGGCTAAAATATATTGACCAAATCATATACATCATTAAGTTATTACGTAAATACAGTCATTCGGAAAATAAAATGCGTAGTATGTATACGCAAACCTTAACGACCAAATACTGAACAAGGCTTCAAATTTAATTCGTCGATTAACGAAATGACCCACATTACACAGTATTAATATATAAATGCTAGTATTATTGACTTGAAAAGCTCCACACACATTAATTTCTATTTTTACTTACCATTAGACACGTACACCATTTCTGTGTTTTGCATACACTGCCCTGGCCTCTCACTTCCGAATGAATCGTCACTACGCAAATGACGCTTTGCGTAACGCACGTCATGACGCTACGTTATGCGGAAGCGGGTGTGGCTGCTGCCGGCGTGTATTTTCAAAAATGTCAAACGGCTGTGGACCGACGGCCCGAGAGACATACGTTCATATTGCGATTGGCTGAAGAAAACAAAAACTGATCGGGTGCTCACGAACTATCAAGTTCTATCTTGGCTTAGCTATATTAACAAGTTAATTTTGTTTGTTGTATTTGTGTTGAACACAAATAATACTCTTAACTTTAAAATTGCAAAATTAGCCATAGCGAAAAATAAGAACGATATCAAAAGAGACAGTTGGCTAACTGATGCCTGTTTTTCAGTCTAATGCTACAGTATCTGTCAATCGAAATTTCGTACACGTCCCTGATCTATACTATGATGCGAAGAAATCTTTTTCGTAATCTATAAAATCATTTTCATTGCCTAATATTTGCTAACTGGACAGCTGGTAACAAATTTCTCTGCAAATAGAGACGACTGACCATTTGTTTTGTAATTGCATGATTGTTCATAAGTTTTGGTTGAATTTATTTGACTGGCTGGGAGAGAATTGCTTGAATGTGGAATTTGCTTCTCTCAAGGCAATGTAACGTGGTAATGTATTAAAAGACAAAGCAAGTTTTGGTTAATAACGGTATTTTTATGCTAAAGTTTTTTGTGCAAGTGACTAGTTAAGACAGGTGTCTTTAATGAGGGTGACTAATTGAGTAGGAGTGTCTAACCACTCTGTGGGAGCCAGAACTCTTAATGGCTGGTAGGGGTTCAAATACTTATTTCACTCAATGAAATGCAAATCTTTTATTTAAAGTTATTTTTTCAATTTTCCTTTTGATGTGCTATCTGTCACTGTTAAAATAAACCTACAATTGAAATGATACTGTTCTGAGACTTTTCATTTCTTTGTCATTGGACAAACTTACAAAATCAGCGAGGGGTCAAATAATTATTTCCTCCACTGTAAATGTTAAATTACAAAACAGTCCCCAAATATGAATGCCATCACTAATTCTCACAACATGATTATGGCAGAGTGTGCAGGCCTTGTCCCACTGTCTCGGTCGGTTGGTGTGTGGGGGTCGCCCGAACAAACCCTGTTGTATTTAATTGCTGTAGAAGCTGGTGAACGGCATGTATCAACATACATCAAAAGCATTTGAAAACTTTGGTAGAATTCTTGTTTTAAAATAATTATAAAATGTGTTATAAAGCATTTGACCAATGATAATTAATAAAGAATTCAAGCATATTAACCCACACGCGCGTGGACTATAGCAACAGAAGTATGTTTTTCTTATAGACCAGGTCAAGAATTTAGGATGTTGTTTTTTATTATTTAAAAGAAGGTGGACATTATTATTTAATTACATTTAATAGGAACTAGTAAGCTGCATTTAGAATTAATCGCTAGGCAAATGTACCAAACGTACAGCCTGTCCTACGACCTACAAGGTAAAACCATATGGCACCAAAGCGAGGTCAATAGTCTTTTAAAAGAATAAAATACATTACAGGTGTTTATTAACCAATCATTTTAAATGCGTTTTAAGGGTAATAGCATTTATCAGCATGCTTGTAACGGTGCTCTGGGCGCATCGATCTTTTCTAGCTAGAGATGAAAGAGCATCATCGCATGCTTCCAACCTGACCTGACCTGGTCTGGTAGGGCACATTATTCTGCTGAAAGAGGCCACTGGCATTAAAGAATACCATTGCCATGAAGGGCTGTACTTGGTCTGCAGCAATGTTTAGGTAGGTGGTACATGTCAATCTAACATCTACATCAATGCCAGGACCCAAGGTTTCCCAGTAGAATATCTCCCAGAGCTTCAAAGTACCTCATGAAAGTGTAGTCCAAAGGACAACAGGCCAGTGGCAATGGCTCTAGGACTACAAGGGAAGCTCCGCTTTATCTAAAATGTCATTTTAGACTATGTTTAGTAGTTCATATTTTGGGGGAGTCGGAAATAATTCAAATTTGTAATTATAGAGAAAATGATGATTTAGGACATCAAGTATTCATTGCTGGATTGTTGGTGGCGACCGGTAGTTTGCACATGGCGTGAGAGTACACAATGGTTCACAAAACTGCACACCTACGAATGCTGAAGGTACTACAATCTCCTGTAAACTCTGTCATCTCTGTGACTGGAAGTACCCCTGAGGTGTCCCGACTTTCTTTCCTGTTATATCAAATCCCAGAAAGCATAGCCTTGGTGGTAAATTCTTGAATCTGGATTTTAGACAATATAATACCATCAGCAAATTTTCTTGGTTGCTTCTTTCACTTCTGAAAGCACCTTTCTGAACTGAGATGAGGTATTGGGGGCTTGTTAGTACATAACAGCGGTGGCCAACTGGTGGATGGCAACTGACAGGTTAATCCTTAAGACAACTTCCATTCTAATATACCGAGATGGAGCCCCGCACCCTGGTCTGCAAATCATATTGTCACAATTTGGTAGCTCGTCAGAGCATTTTCTTCATAAATGTAGATCTCATTGTAAAAAAAGGTTGAAGAACACTAGTATATAGTATGATGCCTATGCCAGAGGTTTTTCGCAATTCAATTCAATTTCATAAGTTTCATTTTTCATCATAATATGAAACATTTTGAGTTTGTTCTTGGAATTGCTGTCCACCCTGTCATATGGGGTAACCACAACAATAAGCTTAACTCCTACATGCTCACTTGGCTGTGGTCAAGCTTAACACGCCCATCCGCTCATGATGAAATCTAATTTATTCATGTACTTTTAGAGTATTAAAATAGGTTTTTGCAACTTATTATATTGCCACAGCAACGTCACCTTGAACAATTGCAAATTAGACCAATTGTATTTTCATCAGATGCTCACTTTAGGTAAGAACGTCCACCCTGACATTGTCCATGTTATTGTACTTCTCCATCTGCCTCCCAAAGGCTTCCTCTACTGACCTATATGCTGCCCTGTTGCATGGCACAATATTAATATTATGAGCCTTATCTGGTTAATTCGATTAGACATTTGTTTATTATTTAAAACCCCATGATTTAATATTCTATGAAAATTTAAGCTAACATCTAGTGTGGGGGTTTGATCCCCCCCCTTTTGTGTTTAGAATTTGCTCGTTCTCCCGGTGTTATGTGGGTTTTCTCTAGGTTTTCTCTACTCGAGTTGATTTCTGTAGTCCCAGGATATGGAGTTAGGCTTCATGTTGCCTGTAGTGTGTGACTGTATGTGCCCTGTGATGAACTGGTATCCCATCCAAGGTGTACCAGTGCTTTGTGCTCTATGCTACCTGGGATAGGAGCCAGGCCCCACATGATTCTGGGCAGGATAAGCAGCTAGGAGATGGATGTAGGATGTGGGTTTATGAAAGAAAAACAAGCAAGTGTGAACATAAATGTTCCCGGTTTGTATGTGTTATGTACAGTAATATATAAAACACCCCTGCCATTTCTCAAATAGTCATATGGGTTACACGACTTCTGCATGTCCACAGCCATCTATTACAGATTCCACAGTGTTCAGGTTAAAAAGACATCACACTTGAATAGTCAAGGCTGACTTTCGGTCGGCCTCAAAAAGGTTCTGGCAAACCATCCGGAGTATCAGGAGGGGGAAGC